CCGGGCCCGGCTCCCGGAGCGGCGCGGCGCGGCCCGGCCCATGCGCTCAGCGGCGGGGCGGCGGGCGGGACCCGGCGGGGGCGCGGCCCGGGACGGCCCCCATCTCGGCGGCGGCGGCTCGGCGGCCCGGAGGCGGGCTCGGGGCAGGCCGCGGGGGCCCGGCCGCCACCTCCCAGCCGCCGGCTCCGCGTGGACGCGGCTCCGAGCCGACCCCGGCCGGCTCTGGCGGCTGCAGCGGCCACGACCGCTTCCCGAGCCGGAGCCCGAGCCCAGAGAGCCGAAGCCCAGGCCCGAGCGCCCCCGCCGGCCGCGCCCGGAAGTGCGGGGGCGGGGCCGGGGCGCGGGGACGAGGTGCGAGCGCAGGGCGGGGCCGGCGGCGAGGGGCACGAGGTAAAGGGCGTGGGGCGGGGCTTCGGGCACGGGACGGGACTGAAAGCGCGAGGGCGCGGTGGGGATTGCGGGGCGGGGCCGACAGCGAGGGGACCAGGTGAGGAGCGCGGGGCGGGGCCGGGACGCGGGGCGGGGCCGGAAGCGAGCAGACGAGGTGACGAGTGCGGGGCGGGGCCTCGGCCACGGGGCGGGAGCCAGGGAGTGGGGCGGGGCCTCGGGCGCGGGACGGACCCGGTCGCGAGGGGAGAAGGGAGGGACGCGGGGCGGGGCCTCAGGGGTGGGGCGGGGCTAGGGAGTAAGGCGGGACCCGCCTCGAGCAGACGAGGTAAGGGCGTGGGGCGGAGCCTCGGGCGCTGGGCGAGGCCGGAAGCGAGAGGACGAGGTGAGAAGCATGGGGCGGGGCCTCGGCGTGGGCTGGGACGTGGGCGTGGCCAGTGCCTGCCGGGGGCGGGGCGCGGCGGGGGCTGGGTCGCAGGGTCCTCCCCAGGGGCGGCGCGGAAGCGGAACCGGGGCGGTGGTGGCGGCGGCGAGCGCGGAGTGGGCGAGGCGCCGCTGCAGGTGCTTGGAATGGCCGCGGCCGTGGGGAGCGCTGGGCGGACTGCCCGCCCCGACGGGCGCTCGCGGGGCGCAGCCCTTCTCTGCCGCCAGTACATCGGATGCCAGTCGGGGGGCTGCAGGCCTCGGAGCATCGGATGCCAGTCGGGGGACTGCAGGCCTCGGAGCTGCGGGCGCAGCCGGGCCTGGACAGGAGTCCCCCGCAGGAACCACCACGGCCTGTCCGCGTGAGGCAGCCGGCTCCCAGGAGTGGGGCGGTCGGCAGGCAGGGCTGGCCTGGGCACTGGGAAGGTGGGCTAGGCTCCACCCTCCTGAGTCCCGAGGCAGCCGGGACTCAGACAGCGCCAGGGCACACAGCAGGCCCCAGTATATGCTAACTGTCACTCGGACAGGAGCCGCAGCCTCCAAGAAGCCCACCGGCTGGGACCCTCTGCCTTGATTTCTCCCAGGCACCATCTAGGATCAGAGACGAGTTCTTCCCTCCACTGCCCAGGCCAGCCTGAGAGAGCAAGGCCACTGCAGTGTCCCCACTCCTGCACCCCCTCCCCTCGGCCGTCTCTGTCAAGGGATCCAGTCTGATTCTGCCACCCTGGCTGCCCAGCTCCGTATCACCTGCCCTGCAGGCCGGAAGGCTTGAGGCCACGGCCGCAGGCACCTCACAGCAGAGAGGCACAGGCCCACAGCAGCAGCGCCCACAGCAGCAGCACCCACACCAGCTCTGGCCAGCCCAACACTGTCAGAACCAACCTTCTGCCCTCCACCCAGGCCTCCGCCAAATCAGCCCTCTCCAAGGACGATGATGTGGGCACCAGGAATCCATCAGCCACCTCCCACGACAGCCCAGGGCCCTGTCCTTCCCAGAGCACTACTGGGCCTGGCACCTCCCAGGACGTTCCAGGCAGCCCCCTGGGGTCAGCTGTACTCCCATTTCACAGATGAGGCAGCTGCAGTTCAGGCCACACAGGACCAGCTCACCTCCTGCTGGGACGGGGCTCCCCACCTTGTCCACCCCACGCCTGCGCCAGGGGCCCTCATCTGCCTGCCCTCTGCTTTAGGCCTCCCAAGGCTCCCTGGTGCACGCAGCCCTTCAGGGCCATTCCTAATGGCACCTCCCCCACACCCTCCCCTTTTGTGTCTGGCCGCGTGCCTGCCTCAGTGCTTCCATGTCCACACCCGGAGCTCCCTCCAGGCACCTCTCACGCCACCCCCATGTCTTCCCCGGGGCACTGCCACCCTGGGTGCCCAGCCTCATCCTTCAGAGCTCCCAGGCAAGCTCAGAAGTCCCAGCTCCAGTTTCCCTGAGCTGCCAGCCCACCCCCTACCACGTGCCCACAGGTGGGATGGCATGGGAAAGCATGTGTGAAAGCCTCCCAGCCCTCCCCCTGCCAGCTCGCCTCTCACAGCAGCCAGCATGGTGCCTGATGCCAGGGTCGCTGTGTGGGAAAGGGGGCAGCATGGAACAAGGGCTGCTAGGTGGTCCCCAGCCTGCCTAGGACACAGGCTCGCCTCCTAGAGCCATCACCATCCTCAGAGCAGGTGAGCAGGGGTGGGGGATATGGACAAAGCTGCACTGCTGGGCCAACCTTGGCCCCACTGGGTCCTGGCAGTAGGCACCTTGCTTACTCACATCCAGCCAGGTCTCACAGTGCAGGACACTGGGGCCTCTCCCCAAACCCCCCAGCCCATTCAGCCTCAGAACCTTAGAGGAGACAGAGTGGGTGGCCTCCATGGCACAGCAGAGTTTCCAGTGATGAGGGAGTCCTGAGTGGCCAGACAGACAGCAGGACCTCAGAAACTGGCCCATGGGCTCCCCCCAACTCCCAACACGGGCCCCCAGTGCTTGCCTTGGTTCTGCGGAGCTGCCGCTGTGGCTGGGCCAGGCTCTCGGGGCTGTGTCCGTATCCATCCTCCTCTTGGCCCTCGGTGGCGGGTGTCCCCAAGCCCTGGGACCAGAACAAGGCCCTTGGGCCTCCCGCTCCTCGGGGTACCTGCCCTGCAGGGACAGGAAGGGGGTCAGAAAGCCTGGAGCAAACGCAGCCGCCCTGCTAAAGCAGGTTGTGGTGTGGGTGTGGAGGGGAGAGGCTTAGCCTGGCGGGGTAGGGAGAGACCCAGGCAGGCCAAGGGACACCCCACCGCAGGCCAGGCAGGAGAGACCAGAGGCAGGCCCTGAGGAGGGGCGGGGAGGCACACGGGGGCTCTTATTTGATTGACTGCAGATAACTTTGAATCATGCTTTGCTCCTAGGCACCAGACAAAAACTTAAGAGCAGACATGAAATTATTTTCTTCAATGTAGACATAAAAGGAATGCTTTTTTTAAATTTGCTTTTGGAGACAGGGTTTCACTCTGTGGCCCAGGCTGGAGGGCAGTGGTGTGACTTTGGTTCACTGCAGCCTCCACCTTCCATGCTCAAGTGATCTTCCCACGTCAGCCTCCCGAGTAACTGGAGTTACAGGCGTGCACCACCACACCCCGCTAATTTTTTGTATTTTTGCTAGAGTCAGGGTTTCATCATGTTGCCCAGGCTGGTCTCAGACTCCTGAGCTCAAGCAATCTGCCTACGTCAGCCTCAGCCTCCCTAAGTGCTACCATTACAGGCCTGAGCCGCCACACCCAACCTATAAGGAATGCTTTGAAAATAAAGTGGAGGCCAGGGACGGTGTAGTCGCAGCCAGAGGACTGCTTGAGCTCGGCAGGTCAAGACAAGTCTGGGCAACGTAGTGAGACCTCGTCTCTACTAAAAACTACAAAAAATGAGCTGGGTGTGGTGTTGCACGCTGATGGTCCCAGCGACTCAGGTGGCAGAGGCAGGAGGTTCACTTGAACCCAGGAGTTGGAGGCTTCAGTGAGCTGCGATTGCACCACTGCACACCAACCTGGGCGACAGAGTAAGACCCTGTCTCACAAAAAATAAAATTAAATTAAGAAAATAATGAAGTGGGTTTTGATGCTTTAAATGTGTTTACCCACTTAACTGAGGAAGACCACATATAAAAAATGACCCAGAGGCCGGGGGCAGTGGCTCACGCCTGTAATCCCAGCACTTTGGGAGGCCAAGGCGGGCGGATCACAAGGTCAAGAGATCGAGACCATCCAGCCCAACATGTTGACACCCCATCTCTACTAAAAATACAAAGATTAGCTGGGCGTGGTGGCGCACTGCCTGTAGTCCCAGCTACTCAGGAGGCTGAGGCAGAAGAATCATTTGAACCTGGGACATGTAGGTTGCAGTGAGCCAAGATCGCGCCACTGCACTCCAGCCTGGTGACAGAGCAAGACTGCATCTCAAAAAAAAAAAAAAAAAAAAAGACTCAGGCTGGGCATGGTGGCTCACACTCATAATCCCAACGCTTTCAAAGGCCAAGGTGGGCAGGTCATGATGTCAGGAGTTTGAGACCAGCCTGACCAACATGGAGGAAACCCTGTCTCTACTAAAAATAAAAATAAAAATAAATGACCCAAAGGAAATCCTGGCAGACACAGCAAAGACATGCATCGAGGAGCGTCTGCACCGTATGATGTGTGATAGAAACTGCCGGCAGCAGAGAGGGACACCTGCGGCAGATGGCCACCATCCCTACCCCAGCGTAAGGGGAGCAGGGAAAGAGGACGGGACGGTTCAGATCCAGGGTTCCGGAGGCCAAGGGAAGCCTTG